ACCCGGGGCATACATGGGAATTTCTACTTTTAATTTTTCTTTGCGCTACTCGAGTCGTTAATAGATTCCTATTTGGCTGTATTGCTATATCATCCTTTAGGAATAACAGTTGGTAGTTCAAATATTCAGGTTAAGCCGTAACCAAACACAGAGAGTCATCCTGCCATTTAATAGGATTATAGCGAAGGAAACCATCTAGATCGTCTTTCTTAAAGTTCGATCTTTGAAAATTAAGGTCTTTATCTAAGTACAAAACAAACAAATATTCCTATCGTGAAAAGACTGTAAGGGGTACTGTTTAAAAAAACATAATTACTTTCTTCAAGAAGATGGATTGGACCATGCCAATCAATAAGCACTAAATGGGCGTGATGTTTGCAGATACAAATCATATATAGTAAGTAAGTAGTATAGGTGTAAAGAAAATTAACTAATGTCACTTGAAGATGAACAAAGCTTTCCATATTATAACTCGTCTTTGCAATATAAAGTGTGCTTCTAGCGTGAATACTTGATTTATTTTTAATATTTTTCAGGGATCATTTTGATACATAGGAGAAAATCTTCACTAGTTTGGCAAACTCTTTGGGAAGGGAAATTTACATGAGAAAGGAATTTGTTTACAATGCTTCAAAAGTATATTATGTATTATGTACTTATTGACTGAGTGAGAGGGCTAGCTGTACGGGAAAATATTTGGCTCGAGGTTTTGCCGTACGGACCGTACGGAACGAGCGCAGCGAGGTCGTTGGTACAAATGACCGAGAGCCAAATATTTTCCCGTACGGTCCGACCTAACTCAGTCAAGTATTTTTATCATATGACAGGACTTTTAATGTAAAACAAAAAAATAAAAGCGCGCGGATTTTCATGCCGGGAAAATACGGGTTTGTACTGCCCTGTCGTAAAAAGGCTTACGGCCCCCATCACGGCGCAACCATTTCCCAAAGGTTTTTTAAGAGCGCGCGTAGGGCCGAAATACGGGTCATATGATAAAGAACTTTATCTCAAAAGACTTTTATGTGTTTAGGCTTAGCGCTGCGAACAAAATTTATTCTTTATCTTTGTTATTTTTCTTGTCCAGAGTGATTTGGAGGGTTTTTATACAGCATTTCCACTCCCGAGACGAGACCGCGTGTCGAACATTTCCCAGTACGATCATCGCTGATGAGTGTGTGGAAAACTGAAACTTGGACATCTGGCTGTTTCTCCTACTCAAATTATATTAGTTTTAATTATTTAAAATATTATAGTTTTTATTATTTCCAGCGGCTAGATTCTAGAAAAAGTTATGATAAGCTCGAAACTTTTTGAAGATTTTACCCATGTTTCCAAGGACTCTTTAATATAACGTTATTTACTTTTTACTTGAATCATAATAAGTTTTTTTATATAAAAGGAAAACATCTAGAGCATCTGTATTAAAGTTTTCTGAAAAAAGACCTTATCTAAGTACCGAACAAACAACGATTTCTATCGTGAAAAGACTGTAAGAGGTACTGCTGTTAAAAGAACATAATTACCTTCTTATTTGTTCTTTGTATTTTCTTCAAAAACAAAACAAAAAAAAACAAAATTGCACCATACCAATTTAACCTTTGAATGGGCGTGTCGTTTGTAGATAAAAAAAACATAGTGTAGCTGAAAAGGTTGAGCAGTTCATCGAGGAAACTCTAATTAATAGCAGCGAAGACCAAGCAATTCACAACGAACACACTCTACCAACTCTGCCATGATTCTTGTGTTGTCACTCATTTCTATCAAAAGACAGCCACGTGTCCTAATGCCTCAGCTGTCCACACATAGACGACGATCTTACCCGGAAGTGTTCAAACACACACGCGATCTCCTAGAGAGTGGAAAGGAAATCCTTGCAAAACAAAAACAAAAAAATAAAAAAATTACCACACAGCTGTGGACGCGAAAAAGAATAAAGATAAATAATAAACCCGCGAGGATGCAAAATATTTCCAGCAATATAAGAGAGATGTGAATATAAGGACTACATGGCACTATGATAGACACGATATAGAAATGAAAGAAAGTTATAGTGCCTAAGGGTMTTTCTCCCAGAATTGCCTCCTGAAAAAATCTCTATAAATTTCTTTCATTTCTATATAATGTCTAAGGCCCATCTACGACACAACTTATTGTCTTTTGTCATATATTTCGTGAATATTTAGGACAATTTGTTTACGGTACATATTCTGATAACACCAGATTTTTAGGTGTTTGCAGCGCTGAGTTTCAAAACAACAACAAAAACAAAATAAAAACACAAAAAGCATAAGAAAAAGTGATATTCATATTTTGATTAGTAAACTACTTTTGAAACAAGTATATAACCTGATTTCTGTAATTCAGATGGTTTGCTATGTTCAAAGGTGTCGACTTTTTGATGTAACGTTGGATTCGAAAACGTTCTCCTATAAAGAATAGTGTGAATTTCAGTCAGTTCCTCGAATGAATTTGACGACTTTGAATTGCTTTTTGACTTCAGCCACACACGTAGAAACATGAATTGGAAAAAAGCATAAAAATATCAGTTAAAAATTGATCTTTCCTTTAAACAGCTTGAGCATCTATTGTAAAGCGTTTTTTTGATAGAAGACGTTATCCAAGTGCAAAACAAACAAAGTTTTCTATCTTGAAAAGACTCTAAGAGGTATTGTTTAAAAGAACATTAAAGCTTTCTTATTTCTTTAAATGTTTCTTCGAAAAGAAACAAAATTGCAGTTTATCAATCAACCACCAAATTGGCGTGTCGTTCTTGATGCTAAACATATATAAGAAGTGTCGCTGCAAAGGTTTAGCAGTTCATCGACCAATTCACAACGAACACACTGTACCAACTCTGCCATGACTCTTGTTTTATTATTTGCACTGGTGGTGGTATCTATCAATGGTTTGCCAGGTTAGCCATCTCATGATTTTTCGATACTTTCCCCTTTGAAAAAAACACTCAGCATTTGATTTGAAATCATCTATTTACCAATACTTAGTGCCAACTGCAACTCAATCGGAGCCACCGACTACACTTGGTAAGTGATTTCCCAGGCTGGCACTAATACCTTGACTCCCGAGTTTCAGTTTTGTCTTTTATAAAAAAAAAAGAATTTGATTTGAAACCTTTAATTTTATCAATAGCTTTATTGTCAAATACGAACCCTCGTGCGCAGTCGTCTTTGTAGTCATAGTAGAAGGTGCTAAAAATAGTGTCCAATATATTATATTCCATAAATATATGTAACGAGTATGATAACCTTATAGAGAGAGTTTGCTGGTTCCTTGGTAAATACATAATGATATTTCATATATAGCTGCTTATAAACTCGATTAACTGCACACATACGTGGTCCCGTGACTTGGTCTCACTTAAGAAACCAAGTCTGAAAAACTCCTAGACGCGCCCAGCCATACTCTACCAGTTTTATTGGAGCTTAAAAGTTTTACTTGTTTTTTCATTTGTTTGTTAACTGCTTGTATTATTGTTGTTTTCTTCCTTTTAGATTGTGTGAAGTATTCTGAAGACATTGATACCGAACAATGTGCTTATTGGGTAGGCATTGGTGACTGTACTAATCCAGAGTTTGTAGACTGGATGAAGGAAAACTGTAGAATAGCGTGTGGTTTTTGTCCAGGTGAGACTAATGTACTTTCATAGTGAGGATCTGTATGTACTAATTGAATTATCCTCTTCCTTTGAAAATATCCTCAAGCATTTTTTTTATCTGTACCTAGTGCCGGCTTCTCAAACAATTCGGCAGTTGTCTCCGCGGCATCCACCGATCAACTCCGGTAGGTGTTTTTTTTTGTTGTTGTTTTTTGTTATACCCATATATAATGGGAAATTGAGCTTCTAGATAAAATTGCCTTTTTTCTTTAATTTCATTTAATTTTACTTATTTTTTCCCACCTACCACCACCGGCGCAGTCATATCCATACTATATTGTTTTAAGAATTTTCATTCTATAAGTCCTTTTTTATCATATTATATAATTACATATAGAATTTCCATTTATTAGTGGACCTTTCGGCTTGTCTTGAGGCCCATAATGCCAAGCGCCGCTTACATGGTGTACCAGACCTCAAGTGGGACAGTGACTTGGCTGCTACGGCAACAAGTTGGGCTCAACGCCTTGCCAGTACAGACAAACTTGCCCACAGTAAGGGGAATTATGGTGAGAATATCTATTTCTCTTGGGGAACTAACGAAGGGACATGCGAGGAAGCCGTACAAAGTTGGTAAGTCTATTAAAATCACTACCATTTTATTATACACTATACATCGATAACGACATATTTGTCAATTAAGGTATGACGAGATTAAGGACTATGATTTCGATAATCCTGGATTTAGTTCCCAAACTGGCCATTTTACCCAGGTATTTGTGCTTAAAATACAACAGACACTGGAAAAAGTTTCTTTAAAAATTGATATCATTGAATGTTATTAGGTTGTCTGGAAATCCTCCACCAAACTGGGAGTTGGCAAAGCTACAGCGGACGCTGGTGGTGGTTACAAAAAAACCTACATCGTGGCGCAGTACACTCCCCCTGGAAATTATGAAGGTCAATATGCAGCTAATGTATTACCTAAAAACGGAGAGTGACGCGTGAAATGAGGTCATTTTCACGTTCACTGATACTATATCACACTGATATATGTTCATTGTAAAGTTCTGTAGATGTTTCTTTCAATACGACCAATAATAAAACGTTTTGAAAAAGAATAAATCGTGCATTCATTGTTCATTGGGTATTTTTAGTCTCTTTGTAATTTCTAAGGCAGCTTTGACATGATGCGAGCAATGACAAAAGAAATTTGAAATATTTGCTATTCCCCTGACGGGCATTTGCGTGTGAAACTCCAAAAATGTGTGGCTTAGTAAAATACAAATTTGGGACATCAAGGTAAACTGCCAATAAGTCTCAAATAAATGATATTTTCGTTGAAGACCATACCTCAAGATCATACTCAAAAATATGAATTTCTAAAAATGAATTTATGAGAAATAAAGAATAGTAGAAGAAACTTCAAAATTTCCCTAATGCTATACCAAGGCCGACTCAACGGTTATTTTCACGACCCAGGAACCCAAGGTTGATTATAATTCCCCAGTTTATAAAGTTTAGGTAGAACCTCAAATGTCATCACAAATCCCTTAAAATAAACACATTTTAATTTTGACAATTCATTCAGGAAGGCCACAAAGATGGCAATCGTACCTGGAATCGTTCAAACACGCGATCTCACGACAGTGAAAGTCCTTGTATAGCTCTCCATTTACAAGTAAGAAAGATAAATAATAATCACTGAACCACACACGTAGACACGTGAATGAAAAAAAAACAAATATCAGTTAAACATAAGCTTTTTAATATGAAAACCAACGTTTAAAGCATATGTATTAAAGTTTTTTGAAGTACAAAGCAAACAAAGATTTCAATCGTGAAAAGTCTGTAAGGTGTACTGTTAAAAGAACACAATTACTTTATTCTTACTTCTTTATATTTTTTCAAAAAGAAACCAAAATTGCACCATGTCAATCAACTTTTAAATCGGCGTAAAGTTTTTAGATACAATTCAACTCTATTAGAAAAGATATAAGTGACGTCTAAAGTCCAGCAGTTCATCGAGGACACTCTAAATAGCACTGCGAAGACCAATTCACAACGAACACACTCTACCAACTCTGCCATGATTCTTGTGTTGTTACTCGCATTGGTTGTGGTATCCAATGGTTTGCCAGGTTGATCGTCTCATGATTTAACATTTGCACAACTGATTTTCACTGTCCTTGAGACTTAATCGACTGCTTAAACCACAATCAGTGCTATAATGTGGTTTAGTTTTCATGTTTAAAACCGATGCTTACATGGTTATTTGATTATTACATTGATTATTTACAATTTTTTCGCATAGTGATGAGCGTCGACATGATTTTAAGAGATTTTTTATTTTGAAATGTTGTGACTATTTATCCGTTATGATTATAGATTGTACTGATAAGCAAAAAGATAGTTATGGGTGCAATATTTGGTTCAATCAAGGACTTTGTAGTGACAGAAGGTACACGGCGTTTATGGAAAACAATTGTCCGGTAGCATGCGGACTTTGCAAAGGTAACATTATTATAACTAGACGATCAGCGATCGTTTACATGGGCTTCCTGTGGTTTATCCCAATCAGTAAATGATATTGAACCCTAATGAAATTAATATCACTAAGACAACAGCAAAAAAAGATTTCCTTTAATGAAAAATAATCAAACAAGCAATGTACTTAGTAGAATTTAATAATACTGTGAAAGAAGTAATTTATGTCTGACGAGCCGTTACTTTGAGTCGAATCCTTGGCTGTATTAAACACAGATCGATAGTCTTTCATGTTCTTCGCTTAAAATACTTCCAATCCTCTGTTTTTCCTCAGTATAAATCTGTTGACATGTCTTAGATAAGTCCTTATTTTTTAATTGGTGATTGTAGAGCCGGTACTAGTATAAGTTTGCTTTTGATAAGCTAATGTTTGATAGATATTAATTCACGATCGGTAGATTCACGATAAATTCTCGCCGTATCTCTCCAAATGCCCTTTTGAGAAACGCTCGAATCTTTTTAGTGTGGCTATGCCGCGAATGGTGTGTTGATTTGTAAAAGAATCTAGCATTCGACATGTTCGATCTTAAAACTTTGCCGGCTATACGAAGGTCCGAAGAAGCACGAGGCGACGTTTGAATCGTTGCTTAGAAACATGAATGACAGTAAGACAATAGATGTCAAAAATGAAAAGGTCCCGGATATAATTTGAAGCATACCACAGACGAAAAACGTTGGTAATTTAAGACATGGTCTTCCTTTGGAAGCCCATGTAATTAATCGACATCGCTGTCAGTAGGTTTAAATGGTCATCACTGGAAAAGCTCAGGATATCATTGTACCAAAAATACTTATGCACTTAGCAAAATAGAGACAATTGACATGCTTTTTTTGCTTTTGTACGTAGAAAATAAGATCTTAATTACACTTTCATATTTTTCTCTTTAGCGCCACCACCTACAGAACCACCGCCACCACAGAATGTAGACGGTACGTGTACTGATATCATCCAATATCATCGGGCATTGCTTTTTTTATTTGCTGGCGTCCAGTCACCTTGTTTTGATAGCGCCAGATGTTAAATTGCTCTCAATGCCTGAAACTAACATTAAAACAAATATGTAGTAGACATGAATTTTGAAAGATTTTGATATTTAATAAAAAAATAACTCAAAGGTTTCGCATCGAAAATTCTTATACTGTTTTGAGACATCTAATGATGAATCTCTTTAAACTATCAGCAGGAATTGTCAATGGATGTGCAACATTGAAAAATTAATTTCAATTTTTGTAATTGAAATTTCTTCTATGGTATATAGTGGACATCACTGCTTGTCTTGAAGCCCACAATGCCAAGCGCCGCTTACACGGTGTACCAGACCTCACATGGGATGATGGCTTGGCCGGAGATGGAAAAGCGTGGGCACTAATCCTTGCCAAAAAAGACGGCCGCCTTAAACACAGTTCTGGTACTTATGGTGAAAATTTGTATTACTCGAGCAGTCAAAACATAAAGACATGTGAGCAAGCTGTGGAAAGATGGTAAGTAACTGGGGTAGATCCAGCTGAATTTTGAAAAAGGGGAGGGCACTCAATAAAAATGGCGGGAAATTTTCGCGGGAATTTGCCTTCGCTTTCTCAACTCGAAAGTGCAAATGATAAATAAAAGATGTGCAAATTTTTTATATGGCGTTGTTTATACTGATAGACCACAATGCACCATGATTTTATATTTCAGAAAAGGTCTGTGTGCTGTTAAAATTGGTGGAGTTGAATCCAGATGGAGCCTGTAAATCTACTGAGTTACCTGGAACCTTTTTCTTTCGAAGCTATATCAACTCCTTAAAAATCATTTTTTGTTGAACAGTATAATGATAATATTTTTTTATTAAGGTACAACGAGATAAAAGACTATGATTACGATAATCCAGGATACGGAAGCAAAACAGGACATTTCACCCAGGTATTTGTGATATACTGAGATAAAACAAAAATACTGTAAACGTTTCTTTAAAAAAATGTTGTCATTTAATGTTGTTAGGTTGTCTGGAAATCCTCCACCAAACTGGGAGTTGGAAAAGCTACAGCGGACGCTGGTGGTGGTTACAAAAAAACCTACATTGTTGCGCAGTACACTCCCAGTGGAAATGTTCCAGGTCAATTCCCGGACAACGTCTTACCGCTTTTAAGTTCTTAAGTTCTTTTAAAAACGAACAAAAAACGAGCATAAATTTAAGTGTTGCTACATCGCAATCAATTGTTGTAGATTCAATGTAGTTGCTTTGTAGTTGTAGATGATTTGTAATACGAGGGAAACATTGAATGGAATAAATCGTGCTTGCATGGAAATTGAGTCCATTCTTATTTTCACATCCGAGACCTCTAAAGCTTTTACGCCACATACCGTACGCAATGCATTGTAGGATATGTGTGGGACAAAACATGGCGGATTTCTTGGGAAGCAGGAACCACAATGGAAATGTTCAATGGAAATGTTCAATATTCAGGCAATGTTTTGCCACAGCGACGCCATTTTATACAGCAAAGCAGATATATATTAGAGAGGCATTTATCGTACTTTTTCAAGTTCACTTAATATCACCCCAAATACGTTTATGTTTTTTTTTTTTTGCAAAAAGGACAAAATAATCATTTCAAAGAAAACAGAGATTTTGTGGAGTATTTCATTATATGCGATGAAGGATGGATTGTTCTGCGTTTATCGGTGAAATAAAGCACGATGAGATGTTGGGAGAACACGAGAAAAGGCAGTCAAAAGTCAAAAGCTTAGAATGCGGGTACAATAACTGTCCACAAGGCCGACGTTAACTTTCTCATGGATTCAGTAATAGCGTCTCAGACAAGCTCTTTTGCGGTGTCTTACTAGCACTTTTATTCGGATTGTTTTTTTAATGATAATTGTTTAAGTGAGTAAAAATCGGACGGGATCTCCATATAAACTACATGGTAGAGGTTTAGTACTGGTCGTTATTATTTTGCTTTGGACGTCTGCCCCTAGGTAATCTGCATTTTGCTAAGAGAGCGCGCCGATAACATACTAATACATTTTAAAAGCGTGCGCATTCGTTCTTTTCTGTCTCTCTGTTGGGCGGTCTATGGTCTCTCACACTGAATGAACCAGTCACCACACAGGAAACCCAAACAATACAAACTTCTGCATTTTTATCTGATTGGTTCATAGTTTAGACAATAGATGACGTCACGCAACGTCAACCGTTAGCTGGTAAGAGAAAATTAAAACATCTTGTGGTTTAGAGCGAATCAACAACTCAAAAATAAAACGCAGTTATAGCAATTTTATATGAATGACTATATCTATTATGACCTAATGTAAAAAATACGCTGAATTCAAAAAATGACGTTTTTGCGGAAAAGCTGAGGGCCATTTTAAGTCGGTATCTCAAATGAATTTGACGACTTTGAATTGGATTTTAACTTAAACCACACACGTAGAAACATGAATGGAAAAAAAACATAAAAATATCAGTTAAAAATAATAATCCTTTTTATGATACGAAAAAAAAACTAAAGCGTCTATATTAAAGTTCTTTGAAAAGGAGCTTTATCCAAGTAAAAAACAAACAAAGATTTCTATCTTGAAAAGGCTGCAAGAGGTACTGAATAGAAGAAGATTAATACTTTCTTCTTTGACTTTTCTTTAAAAAGAAACAAAATTTCAGCATGTCAGTCAACCTATAAATGGTAGTTAAGCTTATAGATTTATATATCTTAAATTATAAAACATATACATGGTATCTTTGCTAAGATTAAGCAGTTCATCAAGGACACAGTCTAAAAGTGTTGCAAAGATCTGCACTTCAGAACGAACAACTGCGCAATCAGACATGTTTCTTGTGTTGCTCGCATTGGTTGTTGTAGCCAATGGTTTACCAGGTTAGTCGGCGTCTCATGATGTAAGATTTTCACTGTCTTTGCGACTTTATTGATGGCGCAAAACACACAAAACAGTGCTATACTATGAATGTATTGTACATTTTCTCTTTTGAAACCGATGTTTACTTAGAGCTGTTTTTTCCTCTTATTTTTCCTTTTTAATTTGGTTTTGGAGTAGATCTCACGACAAAATCACAACAACAACAACAAAACTGCTAAACAGATAACATGATATACCTTCACTTTGAGAGTCCATGAGTAATGGTCGCCTGACGTTTGCTGCTCATTTTTTTCTCTTATTCAAAACACGGTCCCTTCTTCAGTAAAATCCCTCTATTAAAATTCACTGTGTCTATATGGCCGGTTACCGGTCAAGGTCTTGAAAATGCTAAATGACCGGCAGCCCATAAAACGTGTTTTTTTCCCTCTCTTATTATCTAAACGAGCTTCCAAACTCCAAAATAAAACTCTATGACTAAAATGAGCGTGTTAAAACTTAACTTACATAAACGTCGCGCCGAAATTCGTTGCACTTTTAGAGACATTGTGCGAACTTGACTGAACCAATTGCCGGCCACGCAACAACGAAATCCTAAATGGCCGGCAGCCCATAAAAGAACAGATTTCTCTTTTAAAAACAACATAATCAACATTTTTGAAACTTGCATGGTACTGTAGAGACATCAGAAGTGTAAATGTTCCTTTTTTTCTCTGTTTAGCTACACCTCCTCCACCGCCAGATAATGTAGACGGTAAGTGCATAATATATAATATCATCCAACTTCGTCCAGGTTGCGTTTGCCTATAACCCAACATTTAATTTGCTGGAGTTCGGACACTTTGTTTGACAATGTGAATATATTGAAAACAATAAAAAATACAAATTTTAACAGCTCTTTATTTGCGTTTATATATCCCAACTAAATGCTACGTACTGTTACATGAGTTTGAATTTCTTGCAAATCAATTTTTTGGTCTGTTGTAGTGGACATCACTGCTTGTCTTGATGCCCACAATGCCAAGCGCCGCCTACACGGTACGCCGACTGTAACTGTACCAGACCTCACGTGGGACGATGGCTTAGCCGATGAAGCAGAAAAATGGGCTCTAAAACTTGCAAAAAGCGGCAAATTTAAAGGTAGTTCTGGTGATTATGGTGAAAATCTGTATTTGTCGATGGGCAGTAACTCAGGAACATGTGAAGAAGCTGTTCAAAGTTGGTTAGTAACAACAAAACTTACAGTAGATGAGAAGAATATATTTCATTCTAATCAGAGAATAAAAATAACAAATATTGGTGAGTTTGAATATTTGTTTTCCATTTTTTAAGGTACGACGAGATCAAGGACTATGATTACAAATTTAGTAAAGAAACTAAACATTTCACCCAGGTATTTGTAATAGAAATAAAACAAAATCCAAAGAGAAAAGTTTAAAATGATATCTCTGGTTGTTTCTAGGTTGTCTGGAAATCCTCCACCAAAGTGGGAGTTGGCAAAGCTACAGCGGAAGCTGATGGTTACACAAAAACTTACATTGTGGCGCGGTACACTCCTGCAGGAAATGAACGGAATAAATTCGCAGAGAACGTATTGCCACTTAAGAACAAACAATGAAGCATGAAATCAATGAGTTCAATTTAAATATCTACATCTTAGTCAATTGTTGTAGATATTTTGCGGTTTGAATACGAGGGAGATATAAAAAGTTTAGTAATGGAATAAATCACGCGTGGGTATTTATGTCTATTGAGTATACGTTGTTTTCAATCAGTATTGCAATTTAAAGTTCGTGGCGCGCTACGCTCACCCTAGAAATAACTCTTGGAAGTTTGTCTGCTGTAAATGCACATCCTTAATTCCGCGATCTCCAGGTGCATCGTTCACATGCTTACCGTGAAGAACTCCAAGAAGCTTATACAATGACTTAAACCATCTCCGTCGCCGGAAGGGAAAATTTCTAGGAATAGCAAAGAAATTTTTACAAATGCGCTTAAGCATATGCTGATAAGAAGGGGGAAAATGGTCAATACACAGATAAAGTTTTTCACATTGAACCACCGTGCGAAATAGACAAAGTGCAGCGACGCAATTTTTTTTACAACAAAGAATACACCACCACCACCACCACCACCACCACCACCACTACCAGTCAAATTAATTAAGGGACTGCGCAATAATTATATGGATTCTCAATCCACCCTATTATAGGTTGTAGAGTTAGTATATAGTTTCCTATATAACTAGCTATATACCTCCAGCTCCCCTTCCCACCCAAATAATTAGAGCTTTGTGTGGAGAGATGATAGATACATTTTTTTCTGAAACTTAAGTATATCGTCGGTTTTTATAAATCGAGAGTTGGAAATGTATGAAGCGACATGCAAACACTGCGAAAAAATCGCTCGCTTTAAAGGTTGTAAATTTGATGTAAATATGATGTAAGTATCCAACATTCTGTAAATTTGATGTAAATGATTTCCATTAAATTTACAGAATTTTGGACACTTACATCATATTTACATCAAATTTACAACATTTAAAGCGAGCGATTTTTTCCAGTTAATTAAACAGAGTCAGATTTTTCTCTTTTTTTTTTTGAAGTAAGGAATACAAAAACAAATCGGTATAAAACATAGGTTATCATTTTCACCAAGGTTAAGATACCCCTGACAGACTTATCAAAATATAGATGTTTCGCTTGTTTTGCTTTCCCGCTAAAGGTATCTACTAAGATGGTATCTTCAGTTCGATGGCTGAGGTTCTTTTTTATGCAAAGTGACTGATTATTCCATTATTTACATCTGCTTATTTTGACTATAGTCTTACATTGGCATTTTATACTTAGATCTTTTGATAAAATTGATGAAAATGATTTCCAAGGTTAATATTTGACCAGAGTACTGGAAAACAGAGTAAAAAATGCTTAATCAATGTCGGAATGAAGGCCTGATAACTTGGAGACTTTTCCATGCATGGTACATGAAAAATACTGCGTGAGTTTTTTTAGTGAAATTACTATGTTCACTTTCGAAAATTTCAAAAACAAAAACCAGTGATAGGAACATAATATCTTGATCGAAAAAAAATAACAAAACTTTTAAACTTCAACGTTGTTGTTGTTGATGATTTTTAATTTTTAAAAGTTCAACGTTTCTAGTAAATTAAAGATTATTGTTAAGAACTACATGAAGGGACGCATTTCTAAGGGAGAGAAAACGCGCAGCAAACAAATAAAACGTAAATGAGAACGCGTTAAAAATATCAAGAATACTCGTACCACAGCAAGAGGCAAGGCGGTGTCCTCATTCTTGTTGTGTTGTTATCAATAGTTGCTTTGTATTTTAAACCGTCTATTTTCTGACTGTAATTAATTTTTATCTAACTTTATCTCAATACTGGAATGACTTAAAATTTCGGTTTGTGTCCCAAGACGGCTCATTATCATATAAATAAATCATTGAAGAATCTTCTAGGACTGATGAGCTGTAAAAAGATATCGTGTCCTGCAATGAAAAAGTAATTAAAAACTGATTGTTAGTTTGATAGTATTGCCATGATGCTTTGAATTTCTGGATCAATAGAAATAAAGACTTTGCAATATTTAGTTGAATATGCAAGCATATATATAGCACCGTTTTAATCAGTTTATTGCCACACAGTTAGAGCTGCCAAGACGTTCTTAAAAGAGAGTTCGCAATGATGAGAAAAACTGTGATAGTTCTGTTGGTGTTCGCCGTTGTATTAGCACTTCAAGTTCACGAGGCAGAATCACGAGGTAAATATCTATATTTTTTTATTATTTCTTTTTTTTTATATATCAACACGGGCTAAACTGTGTAGGTGGGTGGGTGTCACTTCGCTGCCACGGCTATCTTGCTCGATAAGCGAGAAATTGAGAGTCGTTTTTTGGAGTTACTAAAATAGAAGAAACTTATAACAGTACAGGATGGCAATACAGTTATAATTCATACTACATGCTACTGTGCAGGTATGAAAATATTTGAAAACTAAACACACTTCTTTCCATTTCTTGAATGTCGGTTTTGTTTAACTCTGACCTAGGAGAACAAGTGCAGTTCAAAATTTTTCATGTCACCGAGGGAGTTACCAAGAAGAAACTTATGACAGTACAGGATGGCAATATAGTTATAATTCATATATAGCAAGCTACTCTCTGGCTAAAAGTGCAATTCATGACGATGATATAACTTTATTTCATCACTTTGCAACATAAACCGTCTGTTATTGATTCTATTTTCTTTCTTTCAAAGACTGTCGTGATCAAGGGCAATATGCAAATCATTGTCCTTATTGGAAAAGACTTGGTTACTGTGCTAGTGGTGGCAAATATCATAGTTGGATGATGAAAAACTGCAAGAAAACATGCAGTGGATGTGGAGGTATCAGAGAAGGGGAGAGGGGGAGTTAATTAAATGAAGAAACTGATGACAAGACAGGATGGCATTATAGTTATAATTCATATATAGCAAGCTACTGTCTTGCTAAAAGTGCAATTCAAGCTTTATTTCATCACTTTGCAACATAAACCGTCTGTTATTGATTCTATTTTTCTTCAAAGACTGTCGTGATCAAGGGAAATATGCAAATCATTGTCCTTATTGGAAAAGACTTGGCTACTGTGCTAGTGGTGGCAATAGTTGGATGATGAAAAACTGCAAGAAAACATGCAGTGGATGTGCAGGTATCAAAATATTTGAAAACTTAATAAGCACTTCTTTCAATTCAGTCTTGAATGTCGGTTTTGTTGAAGCCATTTTATAAGTATTTCAAACTGTAAAAAACACTTTTTAGAACTCATTAATAATTCAAAAGCTATTAGTCCAATCGACCGAGCATCGAACTATTGGGTCACATGATGGGTCTTTATGTCCATATAAAGCACTGATGTTTTATTAATCAGTTCTATATCAGATATAAAGAACTGATGTTCACAGTTCACCAGCGCTTTATCGCAACCCAACAATAGCCGCTAGTGGCAAAGTTCTAAGTTTTTTTAAAATATCGCATCATAGACCTTTGCTAGGTTTTAAATTAGTTTCAATCAATGTGCAGACATGCACTTTAGCATAAACTAGCCTTTCTTCCGTGTGGAATCAAAATGCTTTCAATTGTGTCACAATGCACATGCTCATTAGAAGTTTAATATGCATTATCACTGTTTTCGCATTTTTTTAGCTTTTTACTAAAATGATAACAATTTCCTGGATGTTGGAGTTCGCCTGCGGCTCGAATCTATATATCCCGACAAAACACGCACTCTCGTTCTATAAACAACACATGAAATAAAATGTAGCATCAAGTGTGTAGATATGTGAGTTCACGGTGACCCGCACCGCGAAATTCCGCTGACTTGAGACAACGGCAGCTCTAAGCATGCTAAACTGCGTGTGCCGACAGTTGATTTTTCTTTTTATTTATCAGCAACAAATGCAAACACAAATCAAAAAAACCATGGTAACAGTGGAAATAATGGAAATCATCAAAATGGTAGGTTTAATATTGACTGATTTCTTATAATGAAAAATGCATTTAGTGGATTTACCTTACTTACACTTTTTTTGTTTGAATTTTGTTAGTGACTTAAGCTTATTTTTAGGACTACTTACTTATCTTTTTGGTTATGTGAGATTCTTAATTGATGTCAATATATCCGCCTTTACTAATTAACATAACAGCTTTGTTTTCAAGTATCTATCGTAACGATAATGTTAACTTCGCAAGGAAGCTTTGTAGCTCTCTGTACATTTTGTATTAGACATCCCAACCTTGTTCCCATGCCTTTAACCCTTCGCTTGGGATAGGTTGTACTAAATTACATCATGAGCAATCGTACTTTCATACCGCATATCTCAGTCTTCCTAGCAACATGCATGATATAAGTCAAATCAAATCAAATATAACACCAAATTCTCAAAATGATGTTTTATTACATTTACTAGCTTGCCTTCGCATCCACAACACCCTTCGCCGTAAACACGGTGTACCAGACCTCAGCTGGGACTATGAATTAGCCAGTAAAGCATTGCAATATGCTCGAAAACTGGCATACACTAACACATTTAAACACGATAAAGAACGCGGCAGAGGAATCGGGGAAAACCTGTTTGCTAGTAGTAACCCGAAATCAACAGTTGAAGAAGCTACACAGGCCTGGTAGGGAGATGATGCTAATGATAACAATCATAGATTGATATTAGTGGTCAAACACTTAGTCGCAGTAATTTACAAAAACTGTAAATAATTAAACAAAGGCTTTAGTAGTAAGTCAATAGTCAACTTTAGATATTTTGGTTCGATGACTATGTACAAAAGAACGCACACGAGGCTCCGGGGAAACAATGGATAATCTTGATTTGTTCTTTTATTTCCCCGGAGCCTCGTCTGCAATTCTTTTGTGCATGGTCACTGAACCAAAATATCTAAAGTCGACTATTATCAGGTTATTTTATGGATATATTGAATGTAGGCTTTATGACATCACAGAAATCAGCATAGTGCATTGTTGGCAAGTAAACATGACAAATTCCACCCCAATCGACCTGTTAGTAAACACTATAATAGAATAAACTTTATTAAGGATCATCAAGACCTTACTAATTAGTAATTTCACTGCATTCTTTATACCCCGAATCATCTATTCGATTTTCTGGTTTTATGCTTTTCAAGTGGAGGAGGAAAATTTGTTGTTGAATTATATATGACAGTTGCGAAGACTACTAATTCAATGATATGATGTCTTTTCATGCAGGTATGACGAAATTAAATACTATAATTTCAACAATCCAGGATTTAGTATGAAAACTGGACATTTCACTCAGGTAGTAGAATTCATTAGTTCATAGAAAGTGTCTGTTGCATGATACAAATTCTATAAAACCGACATGAAAATCACAACATCAAAACCATGCATTCAGTGTTATACGATACTTCAATATTTCATAATTTTATCTTTATTGTCGAGCTTTCAGCTCACTGGGGCATCATAAGGACTTTTAAAAACATTCACATCGAAAAACATCACTCGCATGAAGATCTTATTAGGGACATTATTATTAATTTTTAGGTTGTTTGGAAAGGGACCACCAGACTGGGCTGTGGCATAGCCACTACTTCTCGAAGGGCCGTAGTAGTGGCAAGGTATGCCCCGGCAGGAAATGTCAATTCAAAGGCGTATTTCAGAGCAAACGTACCAAGACCTAGATAATAAAACATCGCGGCATGAAGATTGCTATGAAATTGTCATTTCATATTGTAATTTCATACTATTGTTTTATTGTAGACGGTCGGTGGGTAACGACCGAAGCATGTAGCTATAGAAAGCGGTTAATAAAATGATGCATGGGTATTTTGGGTATTTTGCAATTTTTTAATCCATAAATTGCTATATATGCACTGAAAAAATAATAATTTCTTTCCACTCTATTTCAAGGTATATCCTAATTTTATCGAGGATGATCTAGTCAAAGGAACCTTTTTTATTTTCGAGGATTGCCAGTTGAAGTTAATATGATTTGGAAACCATGATTTATCAAAATTCTTTCTTGTTTTATAAAAGTTTTGGTCATAGTTTTGAATTTCAAATATATAACTTTAAGTTGTAAAAACGATTCGGCTGTAACACTAAAAGGATCAATGCCTTGTCTTCGAAGTGAGACAACTTGCGAGCTTTTAATGTTAGACACCTGTAAATAGTTGTTCATAGGTGTGAACAAAGTCTTCCATCACGTCTTATCATCAGTGTACGCCCACCGGCGTCTTGCTTCGATGCAAGGAACGGTTACCTTTCAAGATGGCGCGGGGAACTGTTAAAGCCACTTTTGACAGATTCATTGATTCTTTGACGGATTAGTTTGGGTCTGTTGCTTTAAGTTTGCATACAAACCAGAAATAGAAGGTCCGAAAAGACCAAAAGACTATTCGCTCTCCCTTGAAAACCACTGTAAGTATATTATTTCTTGGCCAAAATGATTCTTCTTCCGAGTCGTTCATTTTTCTTTATATTTTCTTGTTTTCTATAAAAATACCTTCCTATCAATCTTATTCAATCGAGACACCTGTGCTAATTTTGCCTGATGTTGATTTTTGTTCTTGATTCTTTGAATGAAATTACTTCATCATGATGAAAATTAGGCAGAAGACATAGCTATACCAGACTCGAATAAATCCTCGAAGCTTTATTATCGCTAGTCTTTAGGGGAACATAAGCACTAGTAATCTTTTACATAATTAATGTTTAATCACTGTGATCATCATGACATGCCAGTATTTCACTTTTTAAAAGGGTAAATCGATTTAAAAATATATATTTCTAAAGATCAGCTTAATCTTAGGAAAGTTATTTTTTTCGTCTAGCTTTATTTGTGGACCCGCTATACAGAATAGGTTATATTAAAAAAGTTTGTTATTCAAGCGTTGAATAAATCCGGGTCACCGCAATAGCGTAAACACCCAGTGCAACAGGTCAGCAGCATTTCGAGATGAATTATTTCAGGAGTCACCAGTTTTCAAGTGCTGGTCAGCGTTCTACTTTATTCTCACTAAATTTCTCGATTTCGAGTCTTGCCCATCAAAGTGAGCTTCCAGTTGATCGATATAAAAGTGCAAATTCAGTCGTCGTCTCACTTTAATAAAAAGGCTCCGCTACTTTTCCATATGGAACTTATTGCCATACATCGGGTGACATTTGCTTGGATTATTGTCCAGGCTCACTCATGCATCCATGCATGCATGTATATATGCATGTAATTTATTTATTTACTTCATGAAATATAATACAATGGAGTTAATTAATATTTTGAAGTCGATCGACCTCATTAACATCATCATCTGACCATTAAATACTATTAATAGCAAAGTCACCTCTAGAAAGGAAAGTACATGTACATATAATATCACAGTCACGTTCACTGACTGATATAAATTTTTCAAATATTGAATTAACACAAAACTGCATAGTTTTGAGTATATTTTAAACATATAATAAGAAAGCAATAATTTGAAAAATTCAAATTTGATTTTTGTTGCTTGTGCCTACAGAAGTAGTCTCCTTTGCATCCGTTCATCGTCGGGACAGGAATCCCGAAACGCAAACGGATGCGAAGTAACGCCAACTCTTCAAAGGCGAAAATACGTGATTTGATTTTTAAATTTTCTCACGAAAAATACACAGCAATGTCACACATACATTTTATTTCTTAAATCCGGTGCTAGGTTTTTTATTAACAAAATAAGTTATACGCGAGGCCCAGTTTTTTGGAGCGAACTGTGGTGAAAACATGGATCGCCATACTATTTTAATGCTCAACTTCAACTCTTCAAGGGCAAAARTACGTGATTGGATTTTCGAATTTTCTCATGAAAAATACCCAGAAAGGTCGCATATAGATTTTATTTCTTAAATCCGGTGCTAGGTTTTTACGATTGTTTTTAATGTCGCCGCATTTCTTCAAAAAGCCTTGAAATCTGGCCTTTTTTCGTCAAATTTGGCACTTCATACGGACTGTCARGYYAAGCTTGASTGATCACGGACTATTTGTCCCCCATAAGTTCCATATGAGATGGCGCTAGAAATTCAATGTTTCAATTCGAAAATTTCGAATCATTAGAAAAGACTTGGAAATCAAATTTCAGATTTCAAGAAGATATTGATACAAATCCTTGATAATTTGGACAAAAAATGTTGGATTAGATGACTTCATTCACTCCATCCTTTTGTTCTTCCATCCTTTGAATCAAAATTTATCAGATGTGGGATAATTCCAAAACAAATATTTTCCCGCAATTGTTCTTAATAGATATCAATATATTTGTATTGCTTGAAGTTTTGAAATAAGGCCATTTTCATGCAAGTAGCACTTTAAATGCAGTGATGTCTGAGTACATAAATTTTGTAAAACGCAGCTTGCTCCAAGAAGAATTCAAGTGTCCTCATGTGATTTTGAACTCTAATATGATGATTCTGTTGTGGTTTGTCGTCAATATTGCTGTCTTGGTCCACAGTTTGGAAGGTAAGTAATAGTTATGGTTTGATTAACGTGGAACATAATCTGCAAGTACAATCAAATTAGACATGATGTTCAACTCGCGAACTTAAAGTGATTATAACTTTATGACGCATCTGTCTAAGATTTTGGTCCCTGTCATTTCACAGAAAACTTCCATCATGATCATACGGAATCTTAAAGACATTAAATAAGAACAAATAATTAAAAACAAAGGCCAGAGGAAACATTATAACATCAAATAACGCTTTATACACTGAGGTGCTCTATACTATTTTTAACCTGGTGTCATTTTAGACAAATAATTCTCACTATAGATCTATCATAACGTTCTCATACAATATGAATTACGAAAAAAATTTTAAAGTGTGTAAATTTTCTGTAAATTTTCTGTAAATGTTATGTAAGTGTCCAACATCATGTAAATATTACTTACATGTTATTAACATCAAATTTATAACCTTTAAAGCGAGCAATTTTTTCCAGTATGTTTATCTGAAAACTTTTCTTAATTATTAGTGGACATAATTCCTTGCCTTGAGGCCCATAATGCCAAGCGCCGCTTCCACGGTGTACCAGAACTCAATTGGGACGCTGAATTAGCCGCTGGAGCAGCAGCTTGGGCTTCACATCTTTCGCAGAATAACATTTTACATATAAGCAATGCCAATGGTGAATACGGTGAAAATCTGTACACAATGACTGGTTATGGTACTGTAGGGACATGTGAGAAAGCCGTAGAATATTGGTAAGATCACAAGACATCATGATGACATTTTAAAGAAACGTTTGGCATGGAAACCTAATTTCTTATGATATTTCTATTTAAAATATCAACAAAAACTCATTATTTTCCCTTTATGTGAAGGATAATGAAAAGTTAGATTTTAGGCACGCGCGTATCCGAGAATCAGTTTGCGCGATTTTCTCATATATACAATTTCGAGCCCGGAGTCTTCACGGCTAATGTCAGCGGTCTGACATCCGCTGGATGGCAAAATTGTGGTCTCTGGGTACGAGATTGTCACATGGATATACGAAAAATCGCCTTTTTTGAAAAAGGACCAATCAGAACGCAAAAGGATTATTTGTGAAACAAATTAAACGGTCGCAGAGGTTTTCGGATGCACGCGAGGCTTTAAATCCGACGGATTGCGAATGGATATTTGAAGTCACCTCATTTATCTCAAACACGACCGCATTGAATCTGGTAAACCATTGCGGGCCTTTAAAAAAGAGTAAATTGTCAATGTAAACTGTTTATACGTACCCTATACCGTTCATATGATTTGTTTAAGGTACAAAAGTATTAAAAACTACAATTTCCAAGTCCCAGGGTACAGTACAACTTCTGGCACTTTTACGCAGGTATTTGTAATCTGAAACTAAAACATCACCGCTGAGGAAGAGTAGCGAGAATTGAAATTTTAAGAAACAAATTGAAAGTTTTTTGGGACAAACATAATAAAAAGCTTTCTTTCGGAGGGAGAAGAACGTGCTCCCCTTACGCTAGTGACCCCTTCCGCTAGTGACCCCTTCCGCTAGTGACCCCTTCCGCTAGTGACCCCTTACGCTAGTGACCCCTTACGCTAGTGACCCCTTCCGCTAGTGACCCCTTCCGCTAGTGACCCCTTCCGCTAGTGACCCCTT